TGTTAGGCGGAGCTACCTTAATTCCGAGTTTATACTGTATTTTGAACTCTTGTGTGTCTTTTTTTTTTTTAATCCTCACCTGAGGATATTTTTCTGTTTTTCCATTTATCTGCAGATAAAGGGAGAGGGAGGTGGGGAGGGAGGAAGGGAAAGAGAGAGAGAGAAACATCTATGTGAGAGAGACACATCGATTACTGCCTCCCATAGGACCTGGACCAGGGTTGGGGACTGAGCCGCAACCGAGGTATGTGCCATTGACCAGAATCGAACCCGAGATTCTTTGGTCCACAGGCCGATGCTCTAACTGCTGAGCAAAACTGGCCAGGGCGAACTCTAGTGCTTCTTATTCCTCTAAAAAATGTGACTTTTAATAGTTTGCTCCATATGAAGTATAGTTTTTAATAGGTCATGGGTGTCTCAATTTTATGTGAATCAATAGTATTTTCAATATAAAAGTAGACATATTTAGCTAATAGACAGCTATTTAGGGTCTGGTATCTGCCATGTTGTGGTAGGGATCTAACTTGCATTTTTTGAAAGATCACTATTAGCAATTTCACGGGGCATGTTTTATAGTTCCATTGCTTCATTTTTTTAATGATTGAAACCTCTCATTTTTACAGTGGCTTCCTGTTGGCTATAACAGAGTATTTTGTGTGGATGACTTATTAAAGTTCCGTTCATGCTTATTTAACCTTGTTGGCCAAGATGAACAAGTAGAGGTGTTAGCCTGGGCATGAAAATCTCCCTATGGAAAATGAAGCGAAATGTACACTCAGCTATGTTTATAGTTTAACTGGGGAATATGTTTTGATTTAAAACCTATCATTAATCAGAGGTAGCGTTGTATTGGGCAACAGCAACTGGCTAGAGAAATATTTTGATTTCTACTCTATTACCTCGAGCAAGATAAAGTGGTTTAGCCAGGAGTATTTAGCTCTCTAGTCTACTGACTGGGGCCATGAGAAAATAATTCCGTGAAGATAAGCCTCTACTTCTAAATAGATTGAAGACATGCTTAATTGACGCTTGTTCCTCATTATCTCATCCCTTCTGGGCACAAAACATTTTAAGAAAGGTAGGGGAGAAGATTAGAACACTGTGGGGACTCAGCTGTGTGCTTCTATTCCCTGGACTGTTTACTGCTTTAAAATTTCATCGAAACACCTGAATGGTGTTCCCAGCATTCCCTCACATTGCTCCGCACAGGTAAGAAAGACATCACTCTCTGAAGAGGAACAGCAGGCCTTGTGAACATGGATTTTATAATTTAGTTGTCTGCATCTGGAAACTGGAACTTTGAAAGGGGTATAGCCGTCAACATTGATTTATTTGGTGACTAAAGGCATCTATTAGACCTTGTAAAAAGTTGGTGAAAGGTTGGACTGTACATGTGCGGTGCTGTATTCTTCGACCTTTGGTGTCTAGGAGGTGTTAGCAGCTAATACTATCAAATGACTAGTTTCATTTCAGCAGGCTGTTGTGGAATGAAGGAATTCAAGTGCCACCTGGCTAGTGGCTATCCATGGATCTTCACAGAAATCCCATTACTTGATCAGGAATGTAATGACAAACGTGAGACAGTGGGTTAAAAAGAAGATGAAAGAAAGAAAAAGAAATTTTCCTGCCTCCCCAAACTAACATGTTAAACAAGTACTCCTTTTCTTTTCAAGCTTACTTTTGCTAAGATGAATAGATATGAAATGACCGTAGGGCAGCACATTTTAAAAAGTCTCAGCCTTCTGATTTTCCTAAAGTGACATCAGGAGTGATGACACATTGGTGTCTCTGTCTGCACATCCATTAGCCTCTCGGGCCATGAGGCATTTCCTTTGTCTTTCGCTATTTGGTTTACATGACTGCTTTGCCCCTCAGCTCCTGGAGATCATTTACTCCTTCTGGAATCCATAAGTGCTGGGTGTTTGAAGGCTTCTTGTAAATTGTAGTGCCATAGGAGAAGGGGCAAGAATTCTGGTTTCAATCATTTGTACTTTCCAGAGATGGAATGAGAATTCCTACCCTTGACCATGTAGGGATGACCTCACTCACTCAAGGTTGAGATAAGTCCAAAAATTTTTTGTCAGCTTGGCAACTGTCTTAACATGCTTTGGACAAGGGAACAATTTCGATATCTTTCTATTCCTGATGACTTTTGGAGATCACTACTAGACTGAGTTCCTTGCTGTTTCGTAAACTTCTCATCTGTTAGGACCTAGGCTTTGTTTCTGCATTTCCTGTAGAAGTGTTTCTCAATCCTCACTGCATGTTTTAAGTTAAAAAAAAAGCCCCACCCCTAGAGATTCGGAATTAATGGATCTGGTCTGAAGCCCAACTTATTTCAAAACACTCCCCAGGTGAGGATTATGTGTGACGTGCAGGTTGCCAGTGGTGTCCATAGGATGCTAAGAAACTTGGTTGCAAGGACAAACGGATCGTCACGTCATGATGTCTCAGTTTATTTATAAAATAAGAAAACAAGAGTACTTAACCTGTCAGGATGCTGTTAGAATAAAAAGATATATATGTGAAGAGGTCTGGGGCTTGGCACCTAAGAGGCTCCGGTTAAAAGGCAGTACGTGCACACACACACACACGTGGGTACACACACACATATATCCATGAAGCAGGTAGCTTTGAAGAGCCCCTTTCCAAGGCTTGGCCATAGCCCATGGGTCCCCTGAGATAGCTTCTAAGAGTGTCTGTTTCTGTAGGACCCTGGAACTATCATTCCAAAACCCTTCCTTCAAGGTTGACCTCTATGCAAGGATGCATGCTCCAGAAAATGATCTGTAAGACCCCCCAGTGGGACTCTCTGGCCACCTGTGTCAGCTGCACAAGAGGCAGAGGCTGCTCCAGATGGCAGCTCATATCCCTCTGTATCTGTGATTCCTCAAACCTGTTGGAGTGCGGGGGTTCAACAGTATCTTCACCATTATAATGCAATATGGTGATGCTAAGCTCAGCATTTAGCACAATGCCAGGTGTGCAGTAAGCATTCAACAAATGTTAGCAGGTCTTCATAGTAGTAGCTTTAAATCCAAAGCTAGGCTCATGGGTCAGAGTGTTTCCAAATGTCTTTCCTCTGGCTTAGAGGGCAAATGCATAGGCTCTGGATTAGGGCCCGTTCACGGAAAGTCTATGCAACTGGCATCTGTGCTCTATTTATTCGTTTATTTAGTACACATTGATTGAGCACATTTATTCGAGATTATGCAATTATGTGTGTAGCTCTGTGCTTGGCACACAATCCTTTGATCTCTGGTGTTCATGCATGGATGGCTGTGTACGAGGCTGGTACACACAATACTACACCAGGAAAATCCTCTTCTTAACACCACTTCTTCCTTTTTCTGCTGATAAAGCTGGGGAGTGAGGGAAGCTCTGATGATGGCACCTTGCATCCCAGAAGGTAGAGTGTAAAGTTAGTCAAATGTGTATTTTACCAATAAGGAAGCTGAGGCCTGGCAGGGGAGTACTGGTCCAAGTTTAGATAGCAATTTAGTGGCCATCCGTGGCTAGAATCTGGTTGAGGCTCTTTCCAGCTGACAGTTACCTCTGTCTTAGGGCTACAACTTGCCATTACATTTTCATTCACACACAGGTGTTCTTTTCCTTTCTGAACAGATGCATTTCAAGGTTAAATGAAGTAGCTCTTGAATAAGTCTAGAGCAGTGGTTCTCCACTCTGACTACATTAAGTCATCTGGAAAGCATTTAAAAAATACTGATGTTGTAAGCCCCACCCCAGACCAATTAAATAAGTATTTGTGGGGGTGGAGCGGGGGCCTCATATTGGTTTTTAAAGCTCTCCAGGTGTTTCTAATATACAGTCAGTCTAATACACACTAAGTGGGGTAAAGAGACGTGCTTCCAAAATGCTAATGAACATTTGAATCATCTGGGGATTTGTTAAAATCCAGATTCTGACTGAGTGAAACAAGTGGAGCTGGAAAGTCCCCATATCTAACATGCTCCCCGTTGATGTTAATACTACCAGCCCTAGAGCCACATGTGGAGCAGCAGCTCCAGAGATGCTCTGGGAGTCTGTCAGCCACTGTCACTAGGAGCCTCTGGGCTCTTGGTCACTAGGTCTCATCAGTTCTATCCCACGTGCTCCCTGCTGCTTCTGTCCTCTCTTGATAGACTGGTTCAACATTCTCCTCCCTGTTTGCCCACCATCACTTCCCCTCCTGGCTGTGTTCTCTGCTAGACTGCCTCCTGACAGGGCTTTCTCCTTCTTGCCTCTGGCCATGCAGCTTTTACTGGGCAGAATGTTATTCCAGTTGTTGAGCGATCTCTTAAGAGACCACAGCATTCACCCCCCCCCCCCCCCCCCGCGCGCCTGCACTAATCACCTTGGACGATTTTAGGAACAGTATTCCCTTCTGGTTCGTTTCTGCCCAGCTCAATGCCTATTAGGCTCCCCACAGTCATTGAATTAACAAACAGACCCCCAACTCTGAATGAGCAAAGCCCAAGACCTCAGCTGCTCTCCTTCTAATCAAAATGAACACTCTTTTGAGATTATGCATCAGGCTTTAAAACTCCCCACTGGGGGCGGGGGCGGTTGATCAAATTTAACAAAGTAAGTATTTCCTGTCTGGGTTGAGTGGTTTAATACAGGCTCAAAGCAGGCAGTGGGACAGGAACGGGACGATGGAGGCCGCGGGAGCTTAGAAGTCTGCTTTTAAATCTGGGCTCGTCCCAGCAGGGGGAAAGACCAGAGCGCCCGGACTGGGTGCAGTGCCGGTGGGGAACCTTCCAGGGTCCTGGAGACTGTCGGAATCGCGGGGCGGCAGGCAGGAGGTTGGGAGCGGGAACTAACTTGGCGAGGAGGGAGGCGCCGCACGCTGCAGCCGTTCAGGTTTCGCGTCTTCAGAGCGCCCACATGGGCCGTTGGCTTGGGGAAGGGGGCGGGGGAGAGGGAGGGCAGGTCCGGAGCAGAGGGGGCGGAGGAGTGGGGAGACCGAAGGAAATGAGACAACCTTTTCCTCCCTCTGACTCGGGCTCCTCCAGCGTCTGCGGGGCTTGGCGCGATCGCCGGTGAGCGCCGAGGCCGGGACCCGGCTCTCCGCGCAGTCCCTGGCGGCTCTTCCGCTGGGATTTCTTTCCGAGGCACCAGCGCCGGCCCAAGCCCCGGGCACGGATTTGTCGCGTTCCTCCTTGGGTGACCCGCTGCAGTCCCCCCAGCTCGGCCCGCGCCCCCAGCGCGCAGCCCCCGGAAGTGCGTGCGGGCGGCCCTGGCGAAGGTAAGCGGCGCCCGAGAGCGCGCCGGGGGCGCCGGGGCGCCCGGCATCCCCAGCCCCACCTGGCTGCCCCGGAGCGCCCCGCTGCGGATGCATCCGGAGCACTTCTGACCTGAAGCCGCAGCTTTGTTCCCGACCTGCCCAGGTGTTGTAGGCTGGGTCCCCCAGGGAACTCTGCTTCGCAGCGCTTTCTTTTCACCTCCTCTTCCTCCTACTTTCCTGTTGCTTCTCCCGTCCCTCACCCCCCATCCCCTCGATCCGACCGATCTCAGCTCCCTGCCGTTGCAGCCTGGCTTCGGGGGTGCGTGCCTTCCAAATCTCGGCGCCTCTTTGCTCCTCCGCCTCCGCGAGCGGCGACTTGGCTGGCCGGCCAGCGGCAGTGATTGGCTTTGACCCCGGGCCTGCGGGGTGCGGACCTGCCTGAAATTTCCGTGGCTCATGTTGAACTCATTTACCTGGCTCCTTTCGGAGGCACCCAGCTCGCAGCGCGCTTTTGGCGACTTCCAGAACCCCGAAACCAGAGCGGATTGGGGAGGGAATAGGCAAGTTGGTGCCACCTAAGGCCCCAGGGGGACGCTCTGCTGGTGGAAAGAGGTGAGGGCGGCTCCTTGCCCTCTAAGGTTCTCATCGACTGGGTTGGGCGGCAAAGGGTGCCTGGCGGGGGGGGGGGTGGGAGGGCGATGGAGAGGAGTACTGGATCCGAGACTCCCAAGGGTCATTGGAGGTAATCAGGATGGTCCCTAAGGTGGGTTCAGCCACCTCGTGCTAGCTTGCCATTTTGCTTTTTATTAATTCCCTGAGTTCTCACATCAAGTCTTTGTAGGAACTTTTATTCCTATTTTGCAAATGGGCAAAATGAGATGCAGAGAGGTTAACTAAGGAGCCCAGTCCCACACAGCTGGGAAGGGGCCCAGCCAGGATTTGGGTACTACCTGGTGTATACAACATATCCCACAACCAACCCTACAGATGGCTTCTCTGTCCAGTCTGAGCAGGAACCCACCACCTTCCGCTGGTTTATACCACTGGGGGACCAGGCTTTTTCCTTTTTGAGCCAGTGCATCTGGACTCTATTCAAACCCAAAGGACTTATTTAGTACCTACCATTCACCCAGTTTAGTGGCAAGCACTGAGATTTCACCTTTGAACTTCATTCACTCTCCCATCCTTTTCTTGCCATGTAGTCTGTCACCGAATTGATAATTCTGCTTCAGAAGGCTGGATTGAATCTCTCTCCCTGAAAGGCAGTCAAGCTAGATGGCTAACAGTGGGGGCCCTGGAGCCAGACCACTGGCATGTAAATCCTGGCTGAGGCCCTTCTGTGGCTGAATTTCCTCATCTGTAAAATAGGAATGCAAGGATTTAAAGCAGTGGTTCTCAGCTCGGGTTTTGATTTTGCATCCCAAGTGACATCTGGCAATGTCTGGAGACATTTTGGCTGTCTACGTGTACGTGGGGGAGGATGCTCTTCCTCTGGTGGGCAGAGGCCAGGGATGCTGCTAAATTTCCTGTGATGCACAGGACAGGCCCCGCCCCAAGAATTATCAGTCCCAAATGTTAATAGTGCTGAGGCTGAGAAACCCTGATATCATGTATCAGTTCATGAAGAGTGCTATTATTCCCAACTCTCATCTTCTTATCTGTTCCAGTTTAAACAATTATAGTAGCTTTTGTCCCCAAACCTCCCTTCATTCCAGTGCCAGAGTTCTGTCATTAAAACCCCAGCAGGCCGCACCACCACAGTCACTGAAGACCCTTGTTGGCCCCCAGAGCTAACAGCGGGGACAGAATCTGATTTATGAGCTCTGAAGAGAGATCCTGTGCATATTGAAGCTTGAGAATCAGTGTCTTACAGAATAAAAGCTCACCCCTGATGTTGTCACACACGGCTGCCCATGACTGGCCTTAGTTTACTTTTCCAGCCTAACCTTATGTTGTGTGTGCCTGCTTTACCATACTACCCAACTCACTATTCTTTTGGTATTCTGGGTCCTGGCTTTTTGGAATGCCCTTTCCTTGGCTGGCAAATTCCTCATCATTCTTGGGGGCTAGAACTCAAGTCCCCTTCTGGGTGGCACATTCTTCAGGTGCCTGCTACCCCAACCTTAGCCCTCCTCTCCCCCTTTTTTCTTTCAATACATCTCTTGTGTAGTCTGTACTGCACTGTGTAGGGATTCCTAGTTCATCTCCTGTGGGTTTTTTTATGTGCTCAGAACCTAGCACAGTGCCCTGCTCATGGTGGTGCTTACGCTTGTAGGCTTTGGAGTCAGGCTGCCTGAGTTCAGGTCCCAGATCTGCCACTTATTAACTCTGTGGCCTTGAGGAAGTTGACTCAGTCTCTCAAAGCCTTATTGGTAAAATAGGAAGAAATAGATTGCCTTCTCTGCAAAGTAGTGTGACTAACAAAAGGCATAATAATTGTTCATCTTAGTATTGAGTGCCTCCTCTGTGCCAGGACTTGGTTCAGGTTTAACATTTTATGTTTTTACTCATTTAATCCTTAAATGCACCAAGAGTCCACCGGTTCAATTCCTGATCAGGGCACATGCCCAGGTTGTGGGCCAGATCCCCATTGGGGGGCATGCAGGAGGCGGCCAGTCAATGTTCTCTCTGATCGATGTTTCTATCTCTCCCTCTCCCTTCCTCTCTAAACTCAATAAAGAAAGAAAAAAATAAGAGCTGAAATCCATTGAGTTTTCCACCTATACCATACTTGTGATCTAACACTGTGCCATTATTTTTACAATGCCTGTTTCTTTCCCTTCCTCCTTACCCTGCCCTCAGCCATAGAGGGACAGGCCTTTGGGATCAGTCCTCTGTCACAGTGCCGAGTCAGCACCAATTAACTTGGTGCTAAATGGAGCCTGGTCAGGGTTAGAACAGCATTAACCCTTTGGGGCTAGGGTGTGGAGTCAACACACCTGCCTGGAGGAGAGAGATGCAAACTTGGGGTCAGAGACTACCTGACTCCAGCCTGGTCCTTTCCAAGCGCATGCTCTCGGCAGTGTGTACCCAGCACATAAATATTGGTGGACTCAATCAGTGAATGTGGGATGGGTGGCTGATTGCCACCAGCTGGGTCTCCTACCTTATACTCTATCAGGGGCAGAGTCTGCCTTCTCTCCAAGTATTATGGGGAACATTTATATATTAAAGGTAAACCTTGTTAAGAGAATTTAATGACCCATATGGGGTTTTGGAGAACCAGGTTTGAACCAGTCACTGACCCTCTGTGTGAGTTGTGTGTTATGTATGGCTGATCACTTCACCAATTTGGAATCTTTTATTTCCCCGAATGCAGCCCTCTGGGCTTTGAAAGCTGAGCCCCCTCCTTGCTGGTTCCTTGGCCCCTTGCTCAGTAGGCCAGACTGCCTTGCACAAATACCTGCACCTTCATGTACTCTGGCTTCCTCCACAGCTGCTCTGCACAGCTGGGATCCCCTGAATTTGCTTATTTTGGCAGGTTGTCCCCCAGACTTCAGTGGGATGAGGTTACCTAGTGTATGCAAGGCCTTGTGGTTTTGTTAGGGGATGCAGAAATCCTCCAGGAAGGCTGTTTTTGAGAGTGGACAGGTGAGATTTTCCTGACCATCAACACATCAGAGAGCCTTCAGACCTCCTCATTGCCTTGCCCCCTCTGACCCAGACTCTTACTGCCTGTTGGCTATCTTGGGCCTCTGAGTCACCAGCTGCCTGAGCTGAGAAACATTGCCCCAGGTACTAATGCCTGAGGTGGAAGTCAGACCCAAGATATTTGGGCATCACTTGCATTTTAACTGAGGCTTTTACTGCCTGGTTCAGAAGATAAACTAGCCCCGCAGGGCATGTCAGGCCTGGTGCCAGGTGTCCAGACCTCTGATATCACCTTGTTGGCTGCCCTCTTGGGAAGCCCCTCATAACTGACCAGATTCTGAATGAAGCTGGTTTCTACTTGCACATTTGCTTCTAGGAGAGAGACCTCGCGGTTAGGTCTTGGGCTCGGTTCCCTGTGCAATGTACCTTTGTTGTTTGACTCTGTGTGAAATCCCATTCAGGGCTGTAAGGGGCATTCGGTCTAGACCAGACTAGACCAAAGTGGTGATGGGATCTTGAGGTCTTAGGCTGTGGTTGGAATACATGCGGGACGAGTAGCTCTGTGCTGGATGCCAGAGACACAAACAGGAAGAAGACATGGTCCTTATCATCAGGGTCACAGTCTATGCCATGTGTTGGGTATGTGAACTGGTCATCAGAGTGTTAAGTGGAATAAGAGAGACCTGAGCGAGAACCCGGAGCTTGAAGGAACCAACCACGGGCTCTGCTGGAGGAGCTGGGAAAGGCTCAGGAGAGTTGTTTGAGCTGGGTCTTAGTGTAGGAGTTTGCTGGGTTTGGGGGACTGGTGATCATGGCTGCTACAGTTAGGAAACTGCATGTACACGGCACAGAGCCAAGAAAGGGCCTGGCAGACGCAGCGGTAATGGTGGGGCTGGGACGCTGGAGTTGGGGGGAGTGACTGAGTTTTCAGTAGTACAGGGGTCTGTTTTTGCTGCTGGGAGACAGTGGGGTGGGTTTACAGCTCAGGTGTGCTGAGCCCTTTGAATGGTGGCCCTGCCTCCTCCTCTGCAGGCCTGTTTCCTCCTGGGGCAGTGGGACCGGAGCCCAGGGGCCAGGGAGGGACATTGTTTCCAGTAAGCAAAGAAACCACAGTCACAAACAAAGCTGTGCTCCACAGTTGGGGACGGTTGTTTTGTTTTCTTTTCAGAGCCCTGGCTGATGAACTGTGACGGCTCTGTCCCAGTTCAGAGTTTTGAATATTACTTTCAGAGCATCCAAAAGTCTGAATGAATTACTAAATAATTGATCATTTTTTCAGGACTTAGAGGGAAGGCGGGAGAGAGGGAGTAATGGAAGGAGGGAGGGAAGAAGAGAGAGAGGAGAAAGAGAGAGAGAGAGAGAGAGAGAGAGAGAGGAGAGAGATATACAGAGACAGAGACGTACACACACTCAGAGATGGATAGATATTG